GAAGCCAGACGTCGTTGAGTTTTGGTGCGCGGCGATACGACAGGGCAAAATCTTCGGCATCGCAGCTGGCCCCCCTTGCGAGACGTGGTGCTCATCGCGCTGGCGCGCCGCCGAGGGAAAAGCCCCACGCCCACTACGCACACACGACTTCCCCTGGGGCATACAAGCAGCCAACCAAACGGAACTTCAGCAGCTAGCACTGGCCAACGAGCTGTACAGGACAGCCTTACTACTCATCACCACTGGCTTGCAGTACAATGTATCCGCTATACTCGAGCATCCTGCTCCAGCTACCTGGTGTCCTCAAGCGCCGAGCAGCTGGCAGCGAGCGGAGACGCTGTGGCTGTTGGAGCAGACGAACGTCGAGCTACACTACATCGACCAGTGCCAGTTTGGGCAGGCCGCGCGAAAGCCAACGTGTCTGATGGCGGTGCACCTCAGCGAACTCACACAAGAGCTTGGGGCAGTACCTGGGGGACAGCTGTGCCGACATAACGGACACGACAGAGCTTGCGGACGAGACGGCCAGGGCGGCTGGAGGACCGCCCCTCTCAAATAATATCCTTCAAAGTTGTGCAAGGCAATGGCAACGGCCTTCGCAGCCCACTGGGGGCAGCTCGCTGACGAAGAGGCACTGTGGGCCGAGACGGATGAATGCTATCACAGCTTTTATGCCCCCTGGACCACTACATTGAGCCAGAACAGCTGGGCCACGACTGTCACAGGACATGGGGTAACACCGGCGCTAGCAGCTGACACAGCAGCGCGCGGTACTACGACGGCCTGCACAAATATTTCGGGATAAATTGTTGTTCGCAGTATTACAGATTTGCAGCACGTCCATTGGACTGATTACCAGATTACAGATTGGAGTACATATTGGCAGTATTACAGATTGGATTACAGATTGCATTACATATTGGAGTACAGATTGGCAATATTACAGATTTGCAGCAGGCGATCGAGGGTCAGCGTACCTACCTATGGACTCAATACTTGGAGTGACCTGCGCGAATGTATGATTATGCACGCATGGCTTTGTCATGGACTGCGATGGCGTGCCATTCTCGAAGGGGGGGGGGCCGTGGCGCCCATGCGGGTGGGCACGATCCCTCAAAGGCGACGGAGCGTGCCCCCCCTCGAGTATGCTTATTGGTATTCTTATTGGCTTATTTTTCAACTCTGGCATTTGTTTTCTATGCGTATCTATCTCCCTGGGTAAAGGCAGCAAAGCGCCCAGGCCCCACTGTAAGTGTTTTGTTATCTCTGGGCATCTCTTGGCAGTTGGGCAGCAAGACTGACTAGAGTACCTCGGGCTCGCGCACCACCAATGCAAGCAGGTCAAGCAGTATCACAGCGAGCAGCATGTGGGAGCCGAGTACCGCAGGCCAGCGCAGCGTTGAGACAAGCACCACCATGGCGACCAGCACGACTGTGCCGAGCGCCTCAGGTGGTGGTGCTACCGAGTCAAATACGGCCACGTGTTTCCTGCTACACTATATCGAACACCACAGGCATGGGCACGGTCACGGTGGATACTACAGTGCATTTCGTGGCGAAGAGCGGCCTCGGCGACAAGCACTACGGCGTCGGGACTCAAGTCCTGAGGAAGCCCCGAATGCGTGGGAAGACCTCAGGCAGCGTCGCCAAGTTTTGCTTGGGTTAGGACGCAAGTCCTGGGGAAGCCCCGAATGCGAGGGAACACCCCAGGCACAAGTCGCTACGTTTTGCTGTAGGTATCTTGGCGGTGACTGGTCGTATACAACTCGGAGGTCACCAGCTGGCTGGAAGCGGGCGACTCGCACGACCCGCTGCACTACTGAATGACATCGACCACATCCCCAGTACGGCCCTGCACACCTCTTGACAAGTCAACGCTGCCCTGGTGAGGCATGGATCAAACTTCGAGACGGGCTCGAAGGGTGGGGGGGGGAAGGACGAGTACTACCCGCGCCCACCAGGGGGGATGGTGAAGGGCAGGGGGGGGGGGGGGGTAGGACGGCCACTACCCGCGCCCCCGCGGTCCGCCCTAGCTCGCCACCCCCACCATCCCCATGGCGGAGGAGGAGCTACCCGAGCGCCCGAGGGCGAAGCATAGGACAGCCGAGACATCCCACTCCGACAATAATATGTACCAGGCCTGGGGTTCGCCCCCACCGAGGGCACAGTGACCCCTAGCCATAGCGGGACGAGGTGGGACAGCCAAGACCCCCACCTTGAAGTCGGTGCATGGAGGCCATGGGCGCCCACGACCATCAACACAACACCAGCAACAAGCCGACCTCCCAACGACCCTAACCAGCGCGCTCGACAAGCTACACTCAGCCAACAAACAAACGACCTCCACACCACAACCACCCCCCTACATCAGCGCCTACCTGTACGCCAGCGTCGGGTGCTACATGATTGAGGACATATGATATACTACGTTTGGTCGAGTACCGCAGGCTTGACATCACAGTGTCACTCTGTACTATGAAGACCAGCAGGATTGGGCATGGCAGAAGCAGAAGTATCACCTCGACCAGCACGACTGGGACGAGTGCCACACGTTCGCGCACTACAGAGTCAAGCAGTACTACAGGCTCGAGAACATCAGAGTCTACCAGAAGGGGAGGGGCAGCCTGCCCCTCGGCGTGGGATACACAGCGCAAGGCGCCGAAGGGTGCATCCCCGTCGCCCTCGCGTGGCATGCGAGGGGCCGAGGCCAGCTGGCCATAGTCGGCAAGAGGAGGAAAGAGCAGCCGCCAGTGCTGGCCTGCTGGAGCCCACGAGTGGCTCGGCGAGCCTCCACAGCGCGCGGCGCCGAAGGGTGGAGGTCGCCACTGCGGGGGGCAGCCAGCCCCTCGAAGCCGCCCCCACGGCGGCTGGGCTTAGCGCTCCGCGCCGAAGGGAGCCCAGCCGCCGCCGTGCGGCCGCCGGCCCACGAAGAGGCCGTCGGCCTGGCCGTGCGCCGTGCCGCGCTGCCTGACGCCCGCGGGCGTGGGCGCGCGCGGCGCCCGCCCATGGGCCCTGTCGGGCCCCCCTTTTTAAGAAACCCGGCCCCCACTTCGCTCTTCTGAGGTTTATACATGGTCCCTGGTCCTCCCTGCTCTCCTCGGGGTCGGGTTCCCGGGGCCGCTGTTCGAGTGCCCGCGCGGCCCTTGTGGGCCGCTGCGGCGCGCTCCGCGCCCGCGGGGCGCGCGACAAGACGCTGTGTAGCGAGAAACGTCAGAAACGTCAGGGGGCGGGCCTCTTCAGAAGGCTCGGAAGTCCTCTGGCCTTCGGGGAGGTATTTTTAAGCTTCCCCCGAAGACGCAGAAAGCTTCTCAGAAGGCGCGAGGCTTTCTGAGAAACCCCGCCACTTACTGAGAAGGCCTCCTCCTTCTCATTTCCCCCTTGGGTGCGCCGCCAAGTGAAGGGAGGAGTCGGGTCGCACGAAAGGGGGTTGATTGTGAAAGGGGAGGCGAGGTTGTGCGCGCTTGCGGGTCAGGGATGTGTCGTCTTCGTTGGGGAGGGGACGAGGGGGGTGGACAAGTCGCCAGCGCAGGACAATCTTCACCGCAACCGCGGGGCACAGCTCACCAGAGCAATCTGATGTTGACCGCAACTGCGGGGAGCAGCTTGGCCAAGCAGTGCGACCTTGCCCTCCCCTCTTGTTTTCCCCTGTTGCCTCCCCCTTCCTGCCCATCCCTCAGCGCTGGCCCTTCTTTGGAACACGCAGGGGCGGGTCGCGAAGTCCGCCGCGCGCAGCTGGCTTCGGCTCCGCCGCTGGGCCTCAAGCCTCGATGCGTGGCTGCCTCAAGCGCCGGGGGGCGCCTCCCCTCTGACACTATTCCTGGGGAAGGGCCCCGGGGGGGCCGAGATCGACGAGAAGCTTGTAGTGCCCGTTCCTTTCAGGACTTGTTTCTTTTCCCTCCTCCTCTTCTTCCCTCCTCCCCACTCCCTCAACGCCTCCCTCCCGCCTATCCCTCAGTCTCGTCCTCCTCCTCCTCCTCCTCCTTCTCCTCATCCTCCTCCTCCTGCTCCTCCTCCCCCTCCTCCTACTCCACAGTTGCACGCTATGAATACTACTTCCCTCTCAGCCTTGGTTCCGTCTACAATATGGCCGGTTCTCTCCGCGCATTCTTCGCACACAGAATTTGTCAATAGTGTTCTGTGTTTCTGTTTTTGTTGCATTCCGAGTTCTCTTCCAGTGTTTCAGACTGGCGTTCCCGCTGCAGCGTGGGCCTCGTTTTCGGATCGGCACACCGCCCCCATCGTTCAGCATGGCGCTCTCGCCCCAGCGTGGACCATTTTTTTACTGGATCAGAGTTTCTTTGCTCAGTTAATCGTTGTCGCTCCCTCGTTTCCCTTCCGCCGCTTTCCCCTGGTCCTCCTGCTCATCACCTTCCACTCCACTTCCTGCTGCTGCTGTTGTTCGTCCTCGTCCTCCTCCTCCTCCCACATCCTCCTCCTTCTCCTCCTGCTTTGTTCTTCTGTTCAGCCACCGTCTCCTCCTCTGTACGCAGCCCCCCTTCCAAGCTGCGCATGACACGATGTGTTTCTTGTGTTGGAATTGCAGGTGGGCTTTGATACGCATCCGCGGATAGAGAAACATCTGCGCAGTGGGAACGGATGCGAGTGAGTGGTGTTATGCCAGATGTGGCGCGAGTGCACCTAGGTTGTCTCTTTCCTCTCCGTCCTCTCCCTCCTCTCCGTCTCTCCCTCCGCATCCAGCTCCCCTTCCCTCCTCACTCCCTCCCTCCCTCCCCCTTGACCTCCCTCTCCTCCTCCACCCCCACTGTCCTCCCGCTGTTCCCTCTCATGCTGCTTCTCCCCCTGCTTCTCCCCCTGCCCCTCCTCCCATCCTCCTGGACTTATGTGCAAAAGAAGTTCACCTGCTGCTTCTCCCCCTGCTTCTCCCGCTGCCCCTCCTCCCCCTCCCGGACTTCGGTGCCAAGGACGTTCGCCTGCTGCTTCCCACCTGCTTCTTCCACTGCCCCTCCTCTTCCTCTTCCTCATCCCCCTCCTGGACTTAGGTGCCAACAACGCCTACGTGGAGGGCCTCCCCCCGGGCTTCACCTGGGGTCAGTTGAAGGACCTGTGCAGAGACGCAGGCGGCGCCCAGACACAGCGCCCCCCTTCAAAGACTAGGGAATTCCGAGAGGTGCACGAGGAGGCGGGAGAGGAGGATGAGGAGGCGGAGGGGAAGGAGGATGAGGAGGAGGAGGAGGACCAGTGTAAACCCAAGACCCGTCAAAGATATTGCAATAAACCTTCCCTCCAAGTGCCCTCTGCAAGGCACCCTACAAGGAGTCAGCTTCGTTGAGGGAAATGCCCCCTTGTAATACAACCGTTTCAAATTCCAGAACTTTGCCAGGGCACCCGTCCTGGGACTTCAATGCTGCGAACCATCTTTACTTCGTCTTAACGATCCTCAATCGTGCCGCATCGCCTCTCCTGGGATTTCCACACCGCGAATCAACCCAATTATTGCGCCTTGACTTTCCGACATCGCGCCAGAGCAGTATTTCTGTGACGCTGCCAAGAAGACGACTGTGCACGGCGCCCAGGCCAGAACTTGACCACATTTTGAAAATGAGCCGCCGTCCTTTTAAAACGAATGTGCGCGGCGCTAAGGCGACAGCCACGTTTTGAAACCGACCCGCCCTCCATCCGCGAAGCCCTTGTAAACTTTCAATGCGAATGTTCGCAGCGCTAAGGCGAGAGCCACATTTTCAAAACCATCTGCCCTCCCATCCGTGAAGCTGTTACATATTTTTCAGACGAATGTGCGCGGTGCCAAGGCGAGAGCCACATGTTGATAACGGCCCGCCCTCCATCCGCTAAAATGTTGTACAACTCTCAGCTGCAAGGTCATAATTGGTGAGGAAGGCTCAGGCGAAACGCCAGGCCCGCCCTTTCGATTGGTCTTGGGGTGCGACAGGGAGGAGTTATTTCAAAGGAGCACGAGCGGAGGAGGGAAGGACAGAGGGAGTGAGGTTCCAGGCGAGATTCCAGGCGCCACGAATTTGTAGTGGTACAGTCTTGGCGGGACCCGCGGTGCGCCAGCGACGCGCGAAGAGGGGGGAAGGAAGGAGTGAGAGGGATGGAGGGGTGATGGTTGTGAGGGAGGAGGACCCAGAATGGGGAGGCGGAGGGGTGATGGTTGTGAGGGAGGAGGACCCAGAATGGGGAGGCTCATGATTAGGACGAAGGGGGAGCGCAGAAGCGAAACATGATCGTGACAGCATGAACAGGTGAAGCGGGGGTAACCGTTGTGATCAGGATGCTAGTGATGATGATGGTGATGATGGAGATGATTGCAATGTGGTGTTGGTAACGGACGGAGGTGCTGGTGGTGAGGACGATGATGGTGATAGTGATGGTGGTGATGATGATGACGGCGGTAGACGCCGACTGCGACGACGACGAAAACGACAATGTCGCTGATAATAAGGACGGATGCGAATATGTGTCGATGATGGTGGCGGTGGTGATGGTAGTGATCATGATGCTGATGAAGAGGGAGAAGAGGGTGTGGACGAGGATCTGCTCCCATTCCCGGCTTTGAGAGGTTGGGGAGGATCAGGATGGCATCCGATGAGGGGTAACGGGGGTAATGTGGATAACGTAGGCACGGGGAGGGTAAGCAGGAGGGAAGAACGAACGAAATAGCTTGGGACGTCCGTCTCAAATCGGCTACTCGCGAGCCTTCGCTTCTTCTACGATCTGTTTTCGGAGCCTAGCTGGAACTACCCAGGTCATTCGTCACTTCGAGTCGACGGCCTGTTGCCGCCATGGGCTTGCTAGCCACCTTGGTACCCAACCTGGAGGAATTATAGCGCGGTGGATGTGTATGCAATGTGGTGTAGGTTTTGTGATGTAAGCAATGTGAGGCACTTACTCGTCGTAGGGAGTGAGTTGTAAGATACATTGCTCGCGCAAGAATCACATCCTCCCACCCGCAGCTTGTTTTTCACAACCCATGTGGCCGCGATTGCGGCGACTCCATGGCACTGGCAGGTGCATCTGTGCGTCGGCGTTCGTGCGCAAGCTCTCGCGCAGAGCGACCAACTGGTTTGCCATAGCGGATGCGGCGGCGATGGCGCTTGCCAGAGGCAATAACCCAGTGCTTCTCAAAGTCCGCGTTGGCGCGCGGACAACCCAATGTGGGTTGGTGACTCGGGCGGGCGCGGTGTCAGCACGATGGCGTTGACAGCGACGGCAACGATGATGATAGTAGCGATGGTGGTGGCGATGAAGTCGCTGTCGACGACATGGCCAATGACGGCGCCGATGCTGTTGACAACGATGACAATGATGATATCCATGCGTCGAAGGTGAAGGCTTCAGTGATGATGGCGGCAGTGGCCGCGATCGTCGATGACACCAGCGTGATGCGGCGGCGCTGATGAGGGTCATGGTGGGGATGTGCGCGCGCAGACATGCAAAAACCTGTCAGGTCTTGTATTCAACGATATGTGTTGTTCCATATGTTCCTGAAGTGCTTTATCTGGATCTGCTTTGGAAAGCGATGATGTTGGAAGGATTTCGAAACGCGCGCGTCGCGGCACACCCGTGTAGCCCGAATGGTAGTATTTGGTACGGGTCCTCGCACGGGGCGCATGATTGATCAACACGGGTTCTCCACGTGGTGAAAAGAGAATGCGAGTTTGGGTGGGGTAGCGGAAATCGTAAAACAAGATCTGCGAAGTTTGCCGTGGGAACCCTAAGAGTCTCAATCTTTCTATGTCGGAATGCTTTCATACATTAGTGCGGTTGGTGTGATTTTGACGTGTGCGCGCGTGTGGATGTTTCCCAGAGGGTTCTTTGAATTATATGTTGTGAGCAACCTGTGCGCACATGGCTTTTGTGGACAGGAGTGTTTGAGGGGTCCATACAATTTGTCCTTGGATGGTATGAGTTCAGATGGGACATGAGCGACGAGGCACAAGTATATGTAATTTGGGGTTCCGGGGAGTGTCGATAACTCTGGGAGCGGGGGAGAGTGGTAGAGTTCATCTCTTTTGAGATGGGAATCTATGTGGTGCAGGTCGCGAGGCGGCCACGAAGCGGCGACGGGCGGCAACTCTGACCCGCCGAAATCAGGACCTGGCCACGCGGCGGCCACGACGTGACAACGGGCGGCAACGTGACGAACCCCGCCGTTCCCTTTGAATGCCTGAGCAAGACAGGCGACAACACCTAAGCGCTAACACTGCTTGGGCTGCAGGAGGAAGAGGAGGAGGAACAAGAGGAGGAGGAGGAGGAGGAGGAGGAGCAGGAGAAGGACCAGTGCAAAACCAAAGACTCATCAGCGATGCTGCAGCACACACTCCCTCCAAGCTTCCGCTGTATAGGTACCTACACAAGGGTCGTATTCACTGAAGGAGTGCCCCGTTTGAAGACAGCCATCTGAAAATCTGTAAACGTACGAGAGCACCACTCCTGGGACTTCAACGCCGTGAATATGTTGCGTCCTGACGATCCTGACTCGCGGCAGAACGCCGTTCTTGAAACTCCAACACCGCGAATCAACGTTTCTGTCTCGGAGACGCCAACCATGATAATTGTTTGCGACTTGTATAAACTCTTAAGACGATTGTGCGCGGCGCGAAGGCGAGGCGCAGATTTTGAAAATGAGCCGCCTATCCGTGAAGCTCTTGCACACTTTCAGACCGAATGTGCGCGGCGCTATTGCGGGAGACACATCTTGAACACGACCCGCCCTCCGTCCGTGAAAACCTTCTAGACTTTCAGCAAATGTGCGCGGCGCCATGGCTGGAGCGACATTTCGAAAATCACTCTTGATCATGAATGGTGAGGGGGTCCCAGGCGAAATTCCCGGCCCGCCGTCATGACATGTCTCGGGGTGCGACGGGAAAGGGTTACTTACAAGGAGCAGGGATGGAGGACGAGGAGGAGGAGGACGAGGAGGAGAAGGATGCGGAGGGGAAGGAGAATGAGAAGGAGGAAAAGGAGGAGGAGGAGGAGGAGGAGGACGAGGAGGAGGAAGAGAATGAGGAGGAGGAGGAGAATGAGGAGAATGAGGAGAATGAGGAGAATGAGGAGAATGAGGAGGAGGAGGAGGAGGAGGCGGAGCAGCAGGAGGAGGAGGAGGAGGAGGAGGAGGACGAGGAGGAGGAAAAGGAGGAGGAGAAGGAGGGGCAGGAGGAGAAGCCACACCGAGGGTCGGTACGCTCGATCCTCGGCTCCACCTGCCCACACGGCGGAGGCTGGCCGCCACGGCGGAGTCGTCGCCGCCGCCGCTGTGGCCGCTGGCGCCGACTCCGTCGCCTCGTCGTCGTCGCCGTCTTCGTCGTCGTCGTCGCTCTCGTCCTCGTCCGTGTCATCGGCGTCGTCGTCGGCCTCCTCCTCCTGCTCCTCCCTCTCTCCTCCCTGTCTCCTCCTCCACCTCCTCATCCTCCTCTTCCTCCTCCGCCTCCGCCTCCGCTTCTGCCTCCTCCTCCTTCTCCTCGTTCTCCTCCTCCTCCTCCTCCTCCTCCTCCTCCTCCTCCTCCTCCTCCTCCTCCTCCTCCTCCTCCTCCTTCTCTTCCACCACAAGTGCATGATCTGGGTACTGCGATTCACTCTCCAGTTAGGACATTCTGAGAGTGGCGTGGTCTCCTCCGCGTTTTTGTTGACAGACTGGATTGGTGCGGACTATTTTGTGTTATCAAGGATGTTTCCCATCCGAGGCGTTCCCAGATCTTCCATAATGGTGCTCCCGATGTAGCGTGGACCTCATTTTCGGATCGGGGCTTCGCTCCCGTCGTTCAGAATGGCGCTCTCGCCCCAGTGCGGGTGACTTTTCTGGATCCGAGTCTTTCCTCATTGTCTCCTGTCCACTCCTCCCTCTTACCCTGGTCCTCCTGCTCTGTCCGCTCCTTCCGCTCCTGTTCCCACTGCTGCTGTTCGTCCTCGTCCTCCTCTTTCCTCGTCCTCCTCGTTTTCGTCGTGCTCAGCCTCCTGCTCATCTGCCACCTCCTCCTCCTCCTCCTCCTCCTCTTCCTTCTCCTCCTCCTCCTTCTCCTCCTCCTCCTCCTCCTCCTCCAATGTACGCAGCTCCCCCTTTCCGATTGCGCATATCGCGTAGCACGAAGGGACCTTTTCCGGAGTCCCAGGTCCGCGATGACACGCGCCACCAGCTAGAGAACAGTTCAGCGCAGTGGGCGGGGATGGCCGCTCTCCTCCTCCTCCTCCTCCTCCTCCTCCTCCTCCTCCTCCACAATTACTCAATATGAATACTACTCTCCCTCTTCCCCCGATGGCGGCCTGAAAGTAGTAGCCCCCCCCCGCGTACTGTTTTTTTACACAGGATTCCCGGGAGTTGGGTTTTCGCCTGCGTTTTTGTGTCGAAATGCTGCTCTCGCCGAGGCGCCGGCCTCATTTCTGCTCCCGAATCGTTCCGAATCGTGCTCCCGCTGCAGCGTGGGCCTCATTTCCGTGCTTCCGCTCGTTCCGAATCGTGCTCCAGCTGCAGCGCTGGCCTCATTTCCGCGCTTCCGCCCGTTTCGACTCGTGCTCCCGCTGCAGCGCTGGCGTCATTTCCCGTGCCATGCCACAGCACACGCGCACACGCACACACACACACACACACACAAACACACACACACACAAACACACACGCACACACGCACACACGCACACACGCACACACGCACACACGCACACACGCACACACGCACACACGCACACACGCACACACGCACACACGCACACACGCACACACGCACACACGCACACACGCACACACGCACACACGCACACACGCACACACGCACACACGCACACACGCACACACGCACACACGCACACACGCACACACGCACACACGCACACACGCACACACGCACACACGCACACACGCACACAACGCACACACGCACACACGCACACACGCGCACACACGCACACACACGCACACACGCACACACGCACACACGCACACACGCACACACGCACACACGCACACACGCACACACGCACACACGCACACACGCACACACACACACACGCACACACGCACGCACACGCACACGCACACCGCACACCCGCACACCCGCACACCCGCACACCCGCCACACCCGCACACCACACCACCACACACCACACACACACCACCACCACCCACCCACCACCACACGCACCACCACACCACCACCACCACCACCACCACCACCACCACCACCACCACCACCACCACCACCACCACCACCACCACCACCACCACCACCACCACAACCACGCACACACGCACGCACGCACGCACGCGCACCACCACCCACTAGTCCGCGGATAGAGAAAATCAGCGCCATGGTAAGGGATGGGAGGGAGGGGTAGGACGTCAGATATGACGCGCGCGCACCTAGCTTGTCCTCCTCCCCTCCCTCTTCCTCTGTCTTCCTCACTCCCCAGAACTCCGCCGTCCTGATTTTTGTCGCACCGTGGCCCCCCCCAGAGATCTGGACCCATGGCCCATGCTTAAGTCGGGCCTGTTCTTCTACTGGAGGAAAATTCAAAAATAGTAAAGAATAGTCTGGGGACGATCTTGTGACCATTTTTTGATATTTCTGCATATTTTTGGGGTATCATTTTCTTTCGTCCAAAATCCGCAGGTCGGGGGACAGGCCCGACCTCAACCCGTGCCCCGGGACCGCATTTTCATCTCGAGAAGTTTCCGACGGTCCCGGAGCCCGGCAAGGGCCCTGGAGGCCAGAGGCTGTGCAACACCGCCCCTCGTGATTTTTTCGCATCCAGGGACTCAGGCATCGATCGTCGAAAGCAGGTATTCTTGGAACCTTTCATTCTCCACTCTACTTTAGGCGCATTCCTACTTCAATGATCGAGTGGGCTCCCCTTCTCCTTCATCTTTAGGTGGCAGGTGCAAGCTCAATCTACTTCCATCGCCTTCCTACTTCATGCGTCTACCCACTTCTTCTGACCGAAGGCTGGGCTTCCTACAAATTGTGAAGCGGTTTGCGCCATTCCGCCGACCACGTCAAGGAGTGAGTGTTTGAGACGATCGTGGAAGTCATATCTTGGGTCAGGTGCCTCCTGGATGAATCTGAGGACCTCTTGGGATGCCTTCCCTCGGGCCTCTCGGAACATCTTGGGGGCATGTGGGGGCCTCTGGGGGGCTCCTTGGGGGCGTCTTACACTGTGATCTTGCAATCCGCGGCCCCCGAGGTCCCGACCCCTCTCTCGGGGCCTGCTTGCCGCCCCCCCGGCTCCATCTTTGGGTGGCCCCCCGGGGCTCGAGAGCCGACCCCCGCTGGGGCCGCAGCCGAGGAACAGAAAAACACGCCAGGGCTGAAACAATCGGAGCTGTAGGAATCGCCTCCCCGAGATCCTGGCGTCCCACTCTTGTCGAGCGAGCCGGGCGTTTTTTCGCCCAGGTTCGGGCCCCTTTGGACCCTCGCAGGTCGGTCCGGCTCGAAGAAGGGCGCAGACAGAGGGGGTCCGGGGCTCCGTGGGTGGTTTTGGGCTGCAGTTCTCCAAGGCAGCGTCGGATCTCAGGATATCGGCCACAAGAACAAGAGTCACGACGGGAGGCCCTGCAGGCCGAGGCCGCAGTCGAGGAGAAAGAAACGCTGGGACTGAAGCAGTCCTGCTCCTCCTCCTCCTCCTCCTCCTCCTCCTCCTGGGAGCCCCTTTGCGAAAAAACAGAAAAATCACGGCCCCAGCCAGGTCGCTCTCTGCGATGGCCTCGGTCTCCCTCCCTCCATCTCTCTGGGGCTCTTCTGCGGCCGTTCGGGACGAGCCCTGGCTCCCCCCTAGCGCTCTCGGCGAGGCGCAGCCGCTGGCGCGCATCTTGAGGCTGGAGAACGCCGTTGAGGCCCCAAGAGAGCGCCCGAAGACCTCGAGTTCACCTCGAGCCCAAAGACTTCCAGGCCTGAGGCTGGAGAAAAACGCCCGGGCCACACGAGAACGCCCGAAAGCCTCGGACGCCTCGAGCCCCAGAGACCTCCCCTCGCCAGGCTTCGACCAGGTGAAGGCCGACACCACCCCCGACGGCCGGGGCTCCCTGTTCAGCAGGGACGCGGGCCTGATCGCCGCCCTCGTGGGCGCGCTGGACGGCGTGGTCGTGGAGGGGAGGCGGCCGCCCTCCGCCGGCCGTCGCCGTCCGCCGCCGCCGTCCGCCGCCGCCTCCGTCGTTGACCTCGTCGACTTCGTCGTCGTCGTCGACTTCGTCGTCGTCGTCGTCGTCGTCGTCGTCGTCGTCGTCGTCGTCGTCGTCGTCGTCGTCGTCGTCGTCGTCGTGGTTGTCGGCGTCGGCGTCGGCGTCGTCGTCGGCGTCGTCGTCGTTGTCGTCGTCTTCGTCGTGTTAGTCGTTGCCCCTCATGGTGGCCCTCCCCGAGGCGCCCGCGCCACCCCCTTTTCGAACCCAGTGGCCCCCCCTGGCCCGTCTGCTTCGTGTAGCCGCTCGGGCCGCTCAGTTCCCCCATCTTCCTGAGCGCATCCCGAGGGCCGCCCCCCGCGTGTGGGTGGAGCGCTCCGTGGGGTCCGTGGTGTCAGCTGAGTGGCGCCGTCCCTTGCTCCCCGGCCACGGCCGAAGCCCAGTGGAGCTCGGGCGAGGCTTCTGCCCACTGGGCGCGATAGGTTCGTGTCGTGCCGACGCGGCGGCGACCCATGCGCGGGCGCTCAATGTAGACGGCCGCCACTGTCCCGGCATCGGCCCGCACGCTCGACGGGCCGAGATCGCTCCAGGGAGAACAGCCGCGCGGTGCCCGGCACCAGCGCCGCAGTCGCCACGACACGAACCTGCCGCACTGTTTTCGCGGCAGGGGACAGCCGCAGTGCCTTTTGGGTGTGGGCTCACAGGGGCCCCCTAAGCAGCGGCCTGCGCGCTCGGATCTGGCCTGCCCGCGGCGCCCCGCAGCCGCGCAGCAACGGTCACTCATGCCCAGGGCCACGCCTTGCGTGCAGTCGACCCAGACCCTCGGCGTCATGACTTTCTCATAACGTGGCCTCCAGAGGTCTGGATCCATTCCCCAGGACCGGTTTTTCGTCCTGAGTCGTTTTCGAGCCGGATCGCTCTGTGAGGGTCCCGGGCCCCGACATTGGGCACATACGCCCGCTGCGAAAAACACTGTAACCGCTGGGGGGGACGAGCACACCACGAGGACGAGGACGAGGAGAAGGAGGACGAGGACGAGGACGAGGAGAAGGAAGACGAGGAGTTGGAGGATGGGATGACAAGCAGGAGGAGTAGGAGGAGGACAAGGAGGAGAAACACGAGGACGAGGAGGAGGAGGAGGAGGACGAGGACGAGGACGAGGAGGAGGAGGAGGAGGAGGAGGAGGAGGAGGACGAGGACGAGGAGGAGGAGGAGGAGAAGAAGGAGGAGGAGGAGGAGGCGGAGGAGGAGTAGGAAGAAAGGGGGACGAGGACGAGAGGAGGAGGAGGAGGAGAGGAGGAGGAGGAGGAGGAGGAGGAGGAGGAGGAGGGAGGAGGAAAAGGACGAACAGGAGGAGGACGAGGAGGAGGAGAGGAGGAGGAGGAGGAGGTTGCGAGGAGGAGGAGGAGGAGGAGGAGGAGGAGGAGGAGGAGGAGAGGAGGAGGACAAGGAGGAGGAGGAGGAGGAGGAGGAGGAGGAGGAAAAGGACAAGGAGGAGGACGAGGAGGAGGAGGAGGAGGAAGGAGGAGGAAGAGGAGGAGAGGAGGAGGAGGAGGAGGAGGAGGAGGAGGAGGAGGAGGAGGAGGAGGAGGAGGAGAAGGTTGAGGAGGAGGAGGAGGAGGAGGAGGAGAGCAGGAGGAGGAGGAGGAGGGGAGGAGGAGGAGGATGGGAGGAGGGAGGAGGAGGAGGAGGGGAGGAGGAGGAGGGGGATGAGGAGGAGGAGGAGGAGGAGGAGGCGGAGGAGGACGAGGACGATGAGGACGAAGAGGACGAGGACGAGCAGGAGGAGGAGGAGGAGGAGGAGGAGGAGGAGGAGGAGGAGGAGGAGGAGGAGGGGGAGGCGGAGGCGGAGGAGGAGGAGGACGAACAGGAGGAGGAGGCGGATGAGGAAGAGGAGGAGGAAGAGGCGGACGCGGAGGAGGAGGAGGAGGAGGAGGAGGAGGAGGAGGTTGAGGAGGAGGAGGACGAGGCGAGGAGGAGGAGGAGGAGAAGAAGGAGGAGGAGGAGGAGGAGGGAGGAGGAGTAGGAGAAAGGGGGACGAGGACGAGAGGAGGAGGAGGAGGAGGGGAGGAGGAGAGAGGAGGAGGAGGAGGAGGAGGAGGAGGAGGAGGAGGAGGAGGCGGAGGAGGCGCAGGAGGAGTAGGAAGAAAGGGGGACGAGGACGAGAGGAGGAGGAGGAGGAGGAGGAGGAGGAGGAGGAGGAGGAGGAGGAGGAGGGGGAGGAGGAGGAGGAGGAGGAGGCGGAGGCGGAGGCGGAGGAGGAGGAGGGCGAACAGGAGGAGGAGGCGGAGGGATCTGAGGGATCTGATGAAACGCCTTGGTCTGCAAGGCCCGCTACCTAGGCACGCATCTCGGACTTACGCCGAGAAGCACAGTGCCAGGCCAATGCCCAGCGCAAGCGAGGGGGATCCAGCATGGCGACGAGACCACAGGACCCCGAAGCACCGCCCGACGGCGGCTATTTCGAGGGGGATCCAGCACAGCGACGAGCGACGCCAGAGACCCAGGAAAACAAAGCACCTCCCGATGGAGGCGGCCGAGGGGAGCCCAGCAAGGCGACGAGGGAAGGGACCCGCCACTGCCCGATGGCAGCGCCAAAAACGAGCCGCGCCCCAAGGCGACGAGGAGGGGCCCCACGACGGCCCAAGGCCAACAAAACGAGCCGCGTCCCATGGCGACGAGAAGGACACAGCCACGGCCCAATGGCCAATTCGAGGGGATCCGACGCGGCGACGAGACGCACCACCCTCAGGTCTTGGCCTTGACCCAGTCCCGCATGGCTCCCAGCACGGGAGGCAGCACGTCCTCCCAGTTGGGCCCGAAGCGGTCCCTGGCCATGCGGATCAGGTCGGCATCCGACCACTCGATGTTGTCGCCAACCTTGTCCATGAAGTCCTTGTTCTTGCTCTTGCTCTTGCCCCTGCCCTTGCCTTGGCGAGTCCCCGGGCGGCCTTGACCACCGCGTGTCCCGCCTTTCTCCACCAGGGGCACCTTGGGCGGGTTCGGGCCAGCAGCCACATCTGCCGTCGCCTCCTCGCCTGTGTCGCAGAACTCGTCGCCAAAAGAGCTGGCCAAGTCAATCACTTCCGCTCGGCCTGCAGCGAGGTCGTCCCCGCTGTCCCTCGAGCGGGAGTCGGCCCACCACTCCCCGAGGCCGTCGAGGTAAACCGACTCCACCTCTTCAGCTTCTTGGGGGCCTCCAGCTCCTCCTGCACGACCGTCTGGTGAGCCTGCTGGAACAACTCCGCGAGCTCCTCCTTCTGCTGCTTCTGAATGCGTCGAACTTGCGGTGGAGCAGTCCCCCCGCATTTGCGGCAGTGCGAGCGGCACCCGAAGTTCACCTCCTTGCACCCGCACTCCCACTTCTTGACGTAGTTGTGGAGCGACGCCACCAGCTCCTTGGACGGCCTCCACGCCTGGCGTTTCGGTGCTTTGGCCGCCGTCAGCAGTGCCAGCCTCTGCTGTGAGGGCCGCCACGGCGCCTTCGGCATGGCCTTCGCCTTGATGGTCACCCTGGCTTCCGCCTGCTGCACCTCCGTGGAGTCCTCCACCTCCTTGCCGCGGTCCACGCTTTCCTCCGGCGTGGGACTGCCCTGCACAGACTTCCTGTTGCCTAGGATGTCCGCCACCGCTGGCCAGTCCACAGCCAGGTCCAAGTGCATCTTGGCTTGGCGCGAGAGGGCCTCTTGATCCGCCTTCAGCTTCTCCTGCCACGACAGATCCGAGATGACCTCCTTGTTGCTCTTCTGCATCTCCACGGCCTTGCGGTTCTCCATCCTCTGCTCGCAGGAGATGCCGACTGGCCAGTCCGTAGCCGCCCAGCTGCTGCTCTCCTGCGCCTCCAACTCCTCGTCCGACTGGAGCTCCGCTGGACTCGGGAACTCCTCGAGCGAGTACTTCATCTCGCACTTCATGCTGCCACAAGGGCTGGGCGCAGACTACGATGTCCACGTCCCTCTTGCCCAGCTGCGACTCGATGGCGCCCAGCAGCCTAGCGACCGCCGCTGCGCCCTCGCCGCGTGCGAGGTGATCCCCGTCGGCGAGGATCCGAATCATGCCATCGCGGCCCGGGCGCGCTGCACCCCCTTCACGCGCGCGCGCCCCACCTCGAAACGATTCGAGGGAAAGGGGCTAGGAGGAGGCGGAGGAGGAGGATGAGGAGGATGAGGAGGAGGAGGAGGAGGAGGAGGAGGAGGAGGAGGAGGAGGCGGACGCGGAGGAGGAGGAGGAGGAGGAGGAGGAGGAGGAGGGAGGAGGAGGAGAACGACGAGAGGAGGAGGAGGAGGAGGAGGAGGGAGAAGGAGAGGAGGAGGCGGAGGAGGAGTAGGTAGAAAGGGGGACGAGGACGAGAGGAGGAGGAGAGGAGGAGGAGGGAGGAGGAGGGAGGAGAGGAGGAGGAGGAGGAGGAGAAGAAAGGGGGACGAGGACGAGAGGAGGAGGAGGAGGAGGAGGGAGGAGGAGGAGGAGGAGGAGGAGGAGGTGGAGGAGCCAGGACCATCACCGTCTTCGCGGACGGCGCCGTGCCCCCGCCGCGGCCCAGCTCCGCCCGCGGCCCTGGCCCCACCATCCGGACCGGCGGCGGCAGCGGGCCGCGGCCGCGCACGCCGCCGCGGCGAGACCAGGACGCGCGCCTCGTTGCCCTCGGCGCCCTCGTCGCCGCCCCTCCTCCTCCTCCTCCTCCACCACCTCCTCCATCTCCTTCTCCTCTTTCTCCTCCTTCTTCTCCTCCACCACCTCCTCCTCCATCTCGACTGCACGCACAGTCGGCTTGTATCAGAAGGATGCGAGATACCCCGACCCCCTCGGGCAATGAACAAAAAACATGGCGGGAGGTTTTCTGCTATTTTCGGCCTCGGGAGGCCCTTCCTGGGCATCGGGACCGTCAAGAAACGACTCAGGACGAAAAACCGGTCCAGGGGAATGGGTCGAGACCTCCAGGGGTCGACGTAATGAAAAAATCATGACGTCGGGGGTCTGGGTCCCCAGAGATCCGACGTACCCTGAGATCCTGGCGTTGTATTTTTTTACAGCGGGCGCTTTCGCTTGGTTGTGGGCCCCAGGACCCTCCCGGATTCGGCTTGAAGAATGGCGCAGACAGATGGGGTCTTGGGCTCCGGTCGTGATTTGTGCGATGTTTCAGTTTTTTTCGCTCCATCGGATCTCAGGGGAGATGCGGCGTATTGACTGTTTCCCCAGACCCCTCGCGCTGCGAATTCGGTCTCCTCGGGTCCTTACTGGGCCGCGGGGCCGTCTAAAGAACGACTCAGGATGAAGAACCAGTCATGGGAATGGATCCAGACCTCTGGGGGTCGATGTCGTGAACAAAATGACGTCGGGGGTCTGAGATACGGGGTCCCCTCCCCAGAACAGTTTTTGTTCCTTTTATCTGGAGTCGATTGTATACCCCAGAGCTGGGTCCCAACTGTCTCGTCCAGTCGAAAGTCCTATCAGGTCGGAGATTGGGGTCGTGATGTCTCCCACTGTACGCCGCGGGACTCGAAGACGAATAACGATCTACGTAAACATGCGGCGGGTTCGTGTCGTGTCGTAGCGGCGACCGCCCCAGCGCGGTCGTTCAAGGTTGCTTGTCGCCAGCGGCCCAGAGGCAGCCGACATCGAACGATCCGCGCTATCGGACAGCCGCGATCGTTCAATGTTGAGCGACCCATCAAGCAAATTGCCCCGCTCCACTACTCAGAGGGTCTTTCCTACCACTCGCCGTAGGATTCTTCTGCCACTTACAATCGCTCCGCCACCATGGGTAGCCCTCTCTGCCACTCAGCCAGGAGGCCGTGTGGCTGTTCTATCACTTGGCCAGGGGGCTACCCTACCACCTACCCAGGAGGCCTTTCTATCCTTTACACACGGGGGCAGTCTACTACTTACCCAGGGGGGCGTTCTGCCACTTACCCAGGGGGGCGTTCCACCACTTACCCAGAGCGCCGTTCTATCCTTTATCCAGGAGGGCAGTCTACCACTTACCCAGGGGCAGCGTTCTACCACTCACCCAGGGGGCTTGTCTGCCACTAACTCAGGGGGCCGTGTTCTTCATTGTTGTTTCTGACCTTTCTTTTTTTGAAATAGTGTTTCCTTCCTGTTGCCCAGCTCGTTTCGGTTCGGTCGGTTCTAGTTGTATGGTTGCCGGTGTGGACCCAAACAGTGTTTGCAGGACCATATGGTGTGCAATAGTTGTTGTGCAACCTACGTGGTGCAACACATGTGGTGCAAGCTACGTGGTAACATACATGTTGTGCAACCTGTAAGGGACAACATTGGTGGTGCAATTCGCGTGGTACAGTTTATGCTGGGCATTGCACGGTGTGCAGTACATGCTGCCCAATATTTGTTGTGCAATAGGTATCGTGTAATCTTTTTTGTGCAAACCAGGTGGGGCAATCTATGTGGTTCAATCTTGGTACAACCTCTCTGGAGCTATATGTGTGGTGCAATCTAGGTGTTGCAATTGGTGTTGTGCAGGTTTTGCAATCTATGCTGTACCATCTATGTTGTGCAATCTACGTGGTGCAACTGTTGTTGTGCAACCGATGTGGTACAATATGTGTGGCGCAGTCTATGTGGTCCGCAGTATATGTTGTGCAGTCGTCTTGGATCATCAATATTGTGCAATCTATGTCGTGCAGTCTATTTTGTGCAAAATATGTTGTGCAGTCTAAGTTGTGCAATCTACGTGGTGCCATCCACCAATGCTCGCAGTGAGTTGTCCACTCCACTGCTCGCGCAACCATCCTACCCACCCACCCGCAACTTGTTTTGCAAAATCTCTTAAGACCGTGACGGTGCGTACCAAATGGCCGCCGCCGACGACAGCGACAACGACGACGACGACGCCGCCGACAACGACTACGACGACACCGACGACATCTCCAGCGACTTCGACGACGCCGACAGCGACGACGACGACAACACCGACGACGACGACGACGCCGACGACGACGGCGACGACGATGACAACGACGACGACGATGACGACGCCGACGACGACGACAACGACGACACCGACGACGACGACGACGTCAACGACGCCGACGACGACGGCGACGACGACGACGACGGTGGAGACGCCGACGACGACAACGACGACGACGACGGCGGCGACGACGCCGACGCCGGCGACGACGACGACGAAGACGACGACGACGTCGCCAACGACGACGACGACGAGGGAGGAGGGAAGACGACGACGGCGACAACGACGACAACGACGAGGGAGGAGGGAGGACGGCGACGACGCGAACGACGAAGAAGGAGGAAGGACGGCGACGCCGACGACGACAACGACGACGGAGGGAAGACGACGACGACGACGACGACGACGACGACGACGGCGACGAAATAGGAGGGACGACGACGAGACGCCGACGACGGACGAAGACGACGACGAGGGAGGAGGAGGAAGGACGACCACGGCGACAACGACGACGGAAACGACCACGACGCCAAAGAGGACGACGACGACGAACACGAGGAAAGACAGAGGACGACGTAGGCGACGACGACGACGACGACGACGTGGGAGGAGGAAGGACGGCGACGACGACGGCGACGACGACGACGACGACGCAAGAGCGCGCGCGCACGCTTTTGTTGAAAATCCGTGTTGCGAAACCTTGTTTTTGTTTTGTAGGTTTTTTGGACACGCGATTTTGAACTCCTTCCGAAACTGATGGGTTTTGAAGGATTTCGGCATACGCGCGCGACGACGCGCGCGTCAGCACTTCGTCCCGTTTTTTGCAGAGGATTCTCGCGACGGCACACGCGCAAGGGCGTTCGACAGATTTCGACATGCGCGCGCGCGAAGCCCCTTTGGTAGCATGTTGTGAAAATCTTGAAAAACCGGTGGCTGTCTTGAGATTTCGCAAGAGCTCGCGCGTAAGCTTTTTTGGCAAATCAGTGTTGCGAAAGCCTGTGTTTTTGCATGTGTTTTGGAAGCTCGATTGCGAAATCCTTCCGACACGGAAGGTTTTTGAAGGATTTCGGCATGCGCGCGCGACGACGCGCGCGTGTGCACTTCGTCCTATTTGTTGCAAGGGATTCGTGAACAAGTCTTATGTTAGAGCAACACAATGTCCCCGCGTATCGTTTTTACAAGGGGACCTCAGGGGGAGCGATACCGGCTCCCCTGGGATAGTGTAAATTCCTCTTTAGGATGGACATGTGGTCATAATCGTACATGATTTACATACCCAGAAGGGGGGCCGATAACGCCCGGGGGGGTAGAGTCTATTCTCTTTTTAGAACGGAGAACCTGGGTGGTGCAATTAATTTCTTTTCGCAGTGAGTTGTCCACTCCAGTGCTCGCGCAAACATCCCACCCACCCTCCCGCAACTTGGTTTGCAAAATCTCTTAAGACCGTGACGGTAGGTACCAAATGGCCGCCGCCGACGATAGCGACAACGACGACGACGCCGCCGACAACGACTACGACGACACCGACGACGTCTCCAATGACTTCGGCGACGCCGACAACGAAGGCGACGACAACACCGACGACGACGACGACGACGCCGACGCTCACGACGACGGCGACGACGATGTCAACGACGACACCGACGACGACGACAACGTCAACGACGCCGACGACGACGACGACGACGACGGCGGCGACGACGACGACGCCGACGTCGACGACGAAAACGACGACGCCGACGACGACAACGACGACGACGACGGCGGCGACGACGACGACGCCGACGTCGACGACGAAGGCGACGACGCCGACGACGACGACGACGACGAAGACGACGACGACGTCGCCAACGAAGACGACGACGAGGGAGGAGAGAGGACAACGACGGCGACAACGAGTGGTCTCCAATGACTTCGACGACGCCGACAACGACGACGACGCCGACGGCCCCCCTGGGATAGTTTGAATTCATATTTCGGATGGACATATCATATATAATTTACATACCCGAAACGAGGGCGGATAACGCGGGGGGGGGGTAGAGTCTATTCTCTTTTTAGAAATTAGAATCTATGCTGTGCATTCCTTGTTGCGGAGACGAGGCGGCGACGGGGCGGCGACGGCGACCACGGAGCCGCCAGACCGACCCCCAGGCCCAGACAACGGACAGCGACGAGGCGGCGACGGGGCGGCGACGGCGACCACGGAGCCGCAAGACCGACCCCCAGGCCCAGTTCTCTTAGAGCAAGAGGTAAGAACCCCTAAGTGCAAGCACTGCTTGGGGAATTGTCGCCGTGGGCGGCTTCGGGGGAGCGGGGTGCATCGCCGACCCAATACATCCGCGGGACCTCCGAAGGCTCATGTTTGTGTATTTCTTGCTGTCGTCTGGGGGCTCATTCCCTGGGCTCCCTCCTGCCTCTCGATGCATCGAAGCGTAGCGAAAGAGCGAACGAGGAGGCGCAGGAGGAGGTGGAGCAAGACCGCCGTCCTGCTCGCCAGGCGGGCTCGCCCATCCTTGGGCCCCCTGGAGGGTTCGGTCTTCTCTTCCCGACCTCCCGCAGTGCCCTCGGCTGTGCCTCCCGCCGCCCCTGCAGGACGGCGACCGCGACGACGGTGCCCCCCCCCCCCGTCGCGCGCCTCTCCTTCGTTCGGGTCGGAACTACAAAGGAGGGAGGGATAGGTTCTCTGACGAGTCCGTCGACTCGCGGTCTTCCAGCCTCGCGATGCTCTCCAGCAGCTGCGCCTCGCCGCGGGGGCGACAACGGGGGTGCCCGCAGCGTCCCGATCGGCCGCCAGAGGCCCGAGGTATGACCCGAAAGCCAGGCGACGAGGATCACGCAGGGCGGACGAAATTGACGGGCGAACAGCTCGCACCCATACCCATAGGGAGGACGAAGGGGGCTAGGGGTGCGTGTTGTCGGATGGGGGATCCCCGCTCGCACGGGAGCCCCCCCCAGGCGGTCCGACAACCCGCACCCATACCCCTAGCAAGTCTTCCTCCCGCCGACCCCCCTATGGGTATGGGTGTGTGTTGTCCGTTCGTCCGAACTGGCGGGGTTTGGAAAGGGGGGGTGCGTGCAGCTGGCTTCGCCTTCGCCGCCAGGTGCGTTCCTCGACACGGGCGCCTCCGGCGCCGGGAGGCGACAGGAGGGTGAGTTCCGCGAGCTGGTTCGCTAACCCGCCCTTCACGACTCCCCCTGGGGCGTCCGCCTAGCAGCGCGCGGGGCCCAATCGCACGCCCTTCCCTCGAGGAACAAAAACGACAGGTTGAGAAGCTCTCGGCGTCCAGTCCGCGGCTGCGGCCGCCGCACGAAGCAGGGCGACAAGACTGGTACTGGACGAGCGCCGATAGCAGTCCGCGATGGTGGTCGAACGCGAGAGCCATTGAACATCCTGACAAGCACTCCGTCCACCACCTGCATCAGAGCGAAGGCGCAAAGAGAAACATGTTGAGAGAGAGATAGATAGAGGTACACATATTTGTGTATATGTTTATGTGTATGTATGCACATATATATATATAGATATACACATGAACACCGGCATAATGATACAATACCTGTGTGCATGTACACACACTGTACATGTACATCTAGCTGTATAATATACATGTATACATGTTTACATACATACATACATCTACACATGTACAAGCACAACTGTATACATACATGTACATACACATACACACAAACATGCATGCATGCATGTATGCATGCATGTACCCAGACGCCAATACATACATATATCTAACATACATACAAACGTACATCCATACATACATACATGCATGCATGCATGCATACAGACATACATGCATACATACACGCACATACATACATACATACATACATACATACATACATACATACGTACATACATACATACATACATACATACATGCATACATATATACATACATACATACATGCATGCATTGTGTATGAGCAAGACTGCATTGGCGCTTCGCGCCATGCACCTTGTTCCGGATACTTCCCTGGGACATAAGTATCTTCCTGCCAACCACAGGACCGTCTTGGGGTGTTCTCAGAATTTCTTGAAGCCAACTTCGAGCCCTCGAGTTGGGGGGCCCTATTGACTCTCTGGGCCCCCGTCGGCGAGTTGGAGACGACGCGGGCTCCACGACCCCATCGTAGGGCGATTCGGGGCGTTTGTGACCCGTGACCCGTTTCGACGATAATGTGCTCGCTGCGGGGGCCGATCAAGGGCCGTCAAAGGTTCGGACCAGGCGTGTTGGATGTATCAGAGCGGCTATCGGGAAGTCTCTCGGAAGCCCGTCCGGGGCCTTCGAGGAAGCGGTCAGAAGGCTCTGGTTGCCTCCTGGGAGTATTTTGAGGGCCCGCTTTGGGCCTCCCAGGGGCGCCTTGGAGCGACTTTGGTTTTTTTTTTCAGGACATCTTGGGGTGAACCCAGGGCGGAGGTCTCGAAACGTGAGCCCGAGATTTCTCTCTCACAACCTTTTGGGATCCCATCGGGTCTTTTGGGGGTCGTTTTGGCTGCCTTTTGGACCGTCTCGGGGCCCTCTTGGGGCCGTTTGGGGGCCTCATGGGTCGGCCTGTGGCGATCTCGAGACTCCTTGGGCGGTCCACGACGGCGTTCTGCGCGCAAATGCGAAAGCGATTAACTTTGATTATATTCCCTGAGGGAACGGGGCGAGTTTTGCCTCCGAGGGGTCTGGCAATTTTTATGTTTCGCGGAGGGCCCTGAGGGCCTTCTGTGGGTCGTCGTCGGGCGTTTTTGCGGGGTGTCTGGGGCTGCATGCGGCCTTTGTGGGGCTGACTGATCGTCTGCTGGACCGTTTCGCACCAGTTGGCTGAGGTCGGCAGGGGCGTCCAACGTCCCAGAAGGCCCGCGGGATCCTCCGAAAAGGCGTCGGGGGCGCCCTGGGGCCAGGGATCCAGGGGGTCCGGTTTGGTGGAATTTTGTTTCATCCGCTTTTGTTTCGTCCGCGCTTCTGTTTCGCCCGCTTTTGTTTCGTCCGCTTTTGTTTCATCCGCTTTTGTTTCATCCGCTGTTGTTTCGTCCGTCTTTTGTTTCGTCCGCTTTTGTTTCATCCGCTTTTGTTTCGTCCGCTTTTGTTTCTTCCGCTTTTGTTTCGTCCGCTTTTATTTTGTCCGCTTCGGTTTCGTCCGCTCTGATTTACGTGATTCGTGTGGAAGCTGGGGGGATGAAAACCGGATGAATTTAGACCGGACGAAATAAAAGCGGATGAATCTGAACGGGCAGATTAAAACCAGATGCATTTTAACCGGACGAATTCAAAGCGGATGCATCTAAACCAGATGAATTTAAACCGGACGAGTTGAAACCGGATGAATCTAAGTTGGACGCGTAAAGACACATGGATCCAGCTCTGGGCAACCATGTTTGATACCTTTTTGGGTGGCCTGGACACCTAAAAACACATGGTTCTGGCTCGGGGCAACCATGTTAGATACAACCCTGCGTGGCCTGGACACTTTAAAACCATGGTCCGTGCTCGGGACAACCATGTTATTTACCCTCCTGGGTGACCTGGACACGTACAAACACATGGTGCCAGCTTGGGACAACCATGTTAGGTACACCCTTGAGTGGCCTGGACACGTGAAAACACGCGGTCCTTGCTCGGGACAATCATGTTAGATACCCCTCTGGGTGGCCTGGACACGTAAAAACACGGGGTTCCAGTTCGGGGCAACCATACTAAATACCTCACTGGGTGGGCTGGACACGTACAAACACGTGGTTCCAGGTCGGGGGAGCCATGTCAGATACCTCCCTGGGTTCTGGGACCTCGTGGGGCATCCTGGAGAGGGCCAATTTTCAGAAACATACGTTAAAACACACGGATTCGTGCCCCTGGAGAGGGCAAATCTATGGGAACACATGAAAAGCACGCGGATTCGTGCCCCTTGCCTAAGTGTGTCCCGCACTTTGTGATTTATCGATCGGGATTTCAAACACCAGCGTTTCGCGAGGGACATCCTCAATTTTCCCACGCTGGATGGGATTTGTTTTGTTATTTATAGCCAATAATTTCGCCAGCCGAAGCCAGGAGGAAACAAACCAATACTAAAAGAAAACCTTGGGCCCGCGCCCTTTCTGGGAGCATGATCGACCTACGAACGCGGAAAGGAATGTAGAAATGTAAGGCATGGCGACGTTTCAAGTTCACCTTATTCGGCGACGGGCAAAAGCAATGCTGAGTTGATCGATCTTGATGTACCACACCGAGGGCTGTGCTGTGTTGCGCCGTGCTGAATTGCGATGTGCCATGCCGCGATTGTGCTGAATAGCGTTGTGGATCGAGTCCTTCTATGCATCCGAGTCCTGACCGAACTGATCAAGGTCTTAAGCTCGAGCTGCCTGAGGACATAGTAGCTGCACCAGAGCTAATTGACAGGGGGACATGCAAGGAGGACGCGCCGCGGAACGTCCCATGGGACGCGCCAAGCGACGTGCCAGGGGGCGTGCCATGGGGACGCACCGCGGGACGTGCCAAGGGGACGCGCTACGGAACGTGCCAGTGGACGTGCCACGGGACGTGCCGAGGGACGCGCCGCGCGACGTGCCAGGGGGATTCGCCACGGGACGCGCCACGGAACGTGCCAGGGAACGCACCAGGTTGCAATGCTGAGTGTATCTATCTTGATATACCGTGCCGAGGGCTGTGCTGTGCTGCGCCGTGCTGAACTGCGATGTGCCATGCCGCGATTGTGTTCCATAGTCGTGTTGTGGGTCTTTTTCAGGGGTGCCCCGCCCTGGGGCGTTAGGAACCCATGTGTTTTCAAGTATCTCTCGCCCTGGGGCATTCGGAACCAATTTTTGACACGTTTGTCCCGCCCTGGGGCGTTAGAACCCTTGTGTTTTCGCGCTTCCCCCGCCCAGGGGCGTTAAGAGCCCATGTGTTTTCACGCTTGTCCCGCCCTGGGGCATACTCGCGCTGCGCTGGTGGAGGGACCTGCTGGCGCGGGGCATCGCTCGCGCGCGGCCCTGGAGATGCGACGGCGAGCGCCCGCCCGCGCTCGCGCGGACGGATGCCCGCGGCCACCCGCCGCGGCTGGCGGCGATTCTAGTTGCCGACGACGCGTTCGAGTGGGCTGAGATGGCCCCCCTCCGTCAAGTTTCTCAGGCGCCCGCCCGCCGGCCCGCGGCGAGAGCTCGGCGCGCGCATTTCGCGTCGGCGCAGCGGATTGCTGCGCCGGAGCGACCGCCAGATCGCGGCTCTGGAAATGCCGGCACAGTGCGCGGCGCTGATTGCGTGGGCGCGCGCGCTGCAAGGGCGCCGAGTTGCTTTCTACTCGGACTATTCGGTTGCTGAGTGCACCCTCCGGAAAGGCGTCGCCAGGGCCCGTGGTCACAACCGCTTGGCGCACCAGTCTTGGTCTGCTGCGATGGTACTGCGGGCGAGGTCGCGTTAGGGCGCCGCCGCGCGCGCGTGCGACTTCTGCGCCGCGAAAGTTTTACGTCTGGATTGAACGCGTCGATTCAGCCAAGAATCTGGCCGACCATCCCAGCCGCGAAGAGCGGGCGATGATCGAGCAGCTGGGCGCCAAACGCGTTCGCGCTCAGATGGCGCGGGCTTTCCGCAGCGGGCGCGCCGAGAGCGCGCGGCCATCGCTATGCGCGCGCGAGCGTGCGCCCCGAAGCGCAGGGTCCACGGTAGCAATCAGGCCGCGCTTGCACGCGCTCTGTTCAGCGCAGTCTATCTTCCGCGCGCCCCTCGGCGCAGTCGCCAATCAGTCGGCGGGCGGGCGTCTAGCGCGATGTCATCGGCGGTTGCACCATATCGCGATCTCGCCCGAACGGTTCTGCGACGCGGCGGCAATGTATTTGCGCCGCGGGGCCAAGTGTCACGCCGACGCGTCGGCGACGCGTGCGCGCCAATTGCCGCGACAGATGGGCAGGGGGGCTGGGCGTCAGACGCCTACCTCGCCCGCGCCACTGCAGTCGGGCTGGGCGCGCGCTCGCACGGCGGCCGCGCGCGCCGCCGCGCCCGACAGCTCGGACAGTTCGCGCAGCAGCTCTAGCGCGTCAAACAGCTGCAGCTGCGACCGCCGCCCGCGCGCCCGAGCGCCGCGCGCCGCGCGCGCAGCAGTCGGGCGGCGCCCGGCGCTGGTCGCATCGTTGTATTGGGTCGCGCTGCGACCGGCGCCGAGGCCCCCCCGAGGCGCCCGCGCCCTCTTGGCGCTGCGCCCGCGCCGCGGGGCGCGGCGTTGGCTTCAGCGCGCGCCCTGCGCTGTGGTTGCGAGCGCAACCCAGCGACGGGTGAGCGAGGTGCTCATGGAACTTGCGTGTGCGAATTCGGCCCTCCGTTCCATCGCGCGCATTCGCTGGCCCCAGGGATGCGCGGCGGGCGCGGGCGCGAACGGCGCCGGACGCGGGCAGGTCCGCGCCCTTCCGCGCGGTGCCCGCGCCCGCCGCGGCGCTGCGAAGGTTCGCGGGCTTCTATGCAGGACGTGGGGCGCGCGCCCCGCGCTCGGAATTTGACCCTCCCGAGCCTGCCCCGTCTTCGCCCTCTGCTGGGTCGCGCAGCGACCGGCGCCGAGGCCACCCGAAGCGCCCGCGCTCTCTTGACGCGGCGCCCGCGCCACTGGGCGTGGCGTAGGTTTCGGCACGCACCCAACGCTGTGGCTGCGAGCGCAACCCAGCGACGGGCGCGCGGGGTGTGTAGGAAATTGTGATTTCCCCCCCAGGCGCGCCGCAGAGAAGAGGGGACGAGGTTGCTCGCGCCTCTTTCTTATATGCCCCCGTCCTCGCGCCACCAGGCAGGTCAGTAAAGCTGGCCAGGCGTTTTGCCAGGCAGTTCCCTCGAAACGCATGGCCGTCGGGCATCAGGTTTGGGATAGCTGAGCTGACAAAGGGCGGATCAGTTTCGAATCCTGGCATTCGCTTCAGCGCAGCGAGAAAATGTTTGGCAAGCGCCCCGAGGCTACGAGGGCGGAAAGGATGTAGACGTAGTTTCGATCATGCTGTTCTCGTGTTAGCCTCGCGAACAGTCGTATTGAAATCTGCAGGCAGTTACATGGAGGCCGGGCCGCCTCGAAACATGTGGCTATCGCAATCGCGCGGGTCACATTGGTCTTAAGAACTTTCAGCAGTTTCTCGGACGGATGCCTGTTCTGGTATGGTGGGGATCTCGCGGGGGGATGTCTTTCAAAGTGTGTGATGAGACGGAGTACCTGTAGAGACTTTTGGGTAGATGGTAATGGGAGTGGGGTCAATGACGCAGTCATGCTAAAACATGGTCGCAGGCCCTGCAATATTCGAATCCGAAGAACTTGGGAGGGTTTTGTCTGTGAGGGCGTTTGCAGTACGGTATCGTTGATGCACGCTGGTTGCATCATGGTGCTGCTGCTCCTCCTCGATTTCCTCTCGGCGGCGAGCCCAGAAGGACAGGCAGAGGGAGCGGGCCTTCTTGGAAGGCTCAGACAGCTCCCAGCCTTCTGGGAAGGCTTCCAAGCGTTCTCACAAGACACAGACAGCTTCTGCGAAGCCCAGAAGGCTTCTCAGAAGCCCCGCCGCTTTTCTTGATCGCTTGCCTCCCTTCACTTCTCCCCAGGCGCGCCGCCGATCTTCGAACAGTATTTGACGTTTTGGCGAGCCTAATGGGGTTAGGTGATGTTAGTTGGGGTTCGATGATGTTGGGTGGGCGAGTTCCCCCAGAAGCCGATGCTTCCTCGATTTCGGGGCTGCCCATCGGGACTTGTTTGAAATCTCAGCTCGCAGGGCCCGCTGCGACCCGATCCGGTTTCGATTCCAGCCGGCTCGATCCGATTTGATCCCGATGTTCGGACGGTCCTGAGGGAAACGGGTCCTAAGGCTTTTCTTCGTTTTCGGGCTCGGGGCCCTCCATTGGCCCCAGGACTGCCAAAACAGAGACTTAGAGTCAGAAGTTTGGTCCTCGGGTGAGTCACTGGAGTCCATGACCTGATTCCCACAGGACCCGCCTCCTCCTCCTCCTCCTCCTCCTCCTCCTTCTCCTCCGCCTCCTCCTCCTCCTCCTCCTCCTCCTCCTCCTCCTCCTCCTCCTCCTCCTCCTCCCCCACTTCCGGGAAGAGGGGGAGGGGAAGAGTCTTCCCCCACCTCCTCCTCCTCCTTTTCCTCACATGTTAAGATGATGTGGTGGGCAGTTGCTGCCTGAGGCTGCATGGCGCTGCTGTGCATCCTTGCGCGGCCGAACCTATTCGGTTCTGACTCCGTGCAGATGCGGCCCGATGCGATGCACGTCCCGATCCCAGTCGATTTCGCGATTCGATGCTGGCTGCTCATGACTCGGGCTCTACCCACATCTCAGAACGCCCGACCGGAGAACTCGTGAGACCAGGTGGACGTCTCGGAAGCTAACCCCTGCCTGCGCGCCGCTCGTTGCTAATTCTTGATGGCTTGCGTATGACCTCCAGCCCATTCAGGAACGGTTCCCAGACGAGCTGTCGAGAGAATGGAAGTAGGCAGGCATATGCACAGTGAGACAGAGAGGCTGGCAATAGTGAGCTAGACCTTCCGGGAGACTCCTTTAAGTGCCTCTTAGAGCTATACATCGGAGAAGATGCTCTCTGCCCACGCGCTGTTCGTCTCTAAGTCTCTGAGTCTTAGTGGCAACCCTAGGCTCGATCGGCTCGAGGGCCCAAGTCTGGATGGTTCATGACTTTTTTTCGCCTCTGGCATCCTTGCGACCGTCGTGGGGCCAGGAGCACTCGGGAAGGAATATAATCAGAGATCAGAAGAACTAGAGCAGAACGCTGTGTGCCGATTTTCTTTCCAGCTGAAGCGCCCCTATAGGTGTCTGGTGTGGCTGACCTGTCCATGCAAGCGGGGGCGTAGCACAATGCTTGGAGCGCAGTTGTTTCGAAAGGGCGATTTGTTCTGGAGCATCAGCGTCGACGTTTCAGAAAACGATTTCGTGAACAGCGCATCAAAGGGATGCGCTACCATACCATGTTTATCGTGCGTTATGTTCTTGTAGTTGCTCGGGCAGCCAGCTGTGACCCAGGCCAGCGTGCAGGTGGCAAGGCTGCAGAGCAGAAGTCCGTTTCGGCAGGCGCAGGTCAGACGATGATAGCAAAGCCCATACATCGGTTTACGGTTACCTTCCGCGCCAGGCTCCACGGGGTCGAGAAAGGTGATGCTGTCCAGATTGCCGAGCAAGTGCACGTGGCAGATACTCAAG